GGGGGGGGTAACTAGTTCCGACGGACATGCGGAATGGACTTTCCCAGGTGTCGTGCCCTGACGTTCGGCTGGCGCGGCGCGCACCTCGGTCCCGCCGGGAAGGTACAATATGCTGCAAAGAACAAAAGGACGCCACGAGGCCTCCGGCCGTTTATGCCATCTTGCGATATTGCACCACACGGTTTGTCGTCGTCGCAGCAGCCTGATCGTTCCCATCTCTTTGCACGCACCCGTTGTCAACTTCACCGGCGCAGCTACAGAGGGATACAAATCGTCACTATGGCCACGCATCCTGATCAGTGAAGAAACTTTTCAATGTTTTTCGCTACACAATAAGAGGCAAGTCTACAATTCCGAACTTCCTGCATTTCCTGCATGATGCCATCAAATAACCTGATCAAGCAAAAAGCTGCAGGGAAGCCCCTCGAAACACGTTCTTATGCGGCCTTACAAAGATGTTTAGATACTGTTCCAGCTTCATCGTCGTCGTTTTCTTCTGGGCGGAATCTCACTACCCTATCTTGCTTATTACATCTACAGCGTACCAGTCCCTACTGTACAGTAATCGAAAATTTTTTCCACACAGTCCTGATTCAAATCTATCTTCTAAGATGTTTTTTATGGCGAAACCTACTTGTCGTCATTTACTACAACATCATCGACTTGAAGTTCAGCGTGCTCGCGTAGATCTTTTTCGAGGAGATCCAACTCGGCATCCTGCGTGTGTATTCATTCATTTAGAGTCCTCATAATTTCATAACAATTGAATTATGAAAGCTGCTCTCAACCCGATTGGACCCTTGCCCACTTTTTTTTTTAGCTTACCTCCAACTCGAATTCACCATTTTCTCCAGCCAGATCTGGCCGCTCTTCCTCGAGTAACCTTCTAATGTACCATGATGGGGCAGGCGGTGGGTTAGTGGGTGCACCGGGAAGTACCTAAGTAACTTTTGAGTATTTTATGCTATAGACAAAAAGAAAAGGGAATAGAATCTACTCCCAGTTATGTTTTCTCTTGAACCAGAATGTCCCTATCCCTCTGGCTCACAGGACGAGTTCGTTCCTTACAGTGAAGAATGAGGTGTTGACAAGCTGGATTCGAAAGGAGCAGTTGAGCCATACCTATCTGCGCCCACACCTTCATTTCTCCTTTCTGACCCTCTTACTTTGTCCTCACTCACGCAAAAAGAATTCGGGCGACGGAATTTCTCCCCGATTTCCCGAGGTCGCTTCGCGGCATGCGGCAAATCTTTTTTAGTTGTCCCGCAGCTTTGAACTGCAAACACCGTATTCAACCCGCCTCCCTGCCAATCGATAGGACGCAATATTTTTCGTTGACTGCCTTTCTTTTTTGGGTTGTTTTTCTCTTTCTTTTTCGTTTTTATGTTTGTTAGACTTGATTGTTTAGAGTGACTACACCTAAACTGCCGACGATCAAGACCGTCCTGGAATTGAAGGGAGTGGCCACCAAATTCGAATGATTAAAGGACCCCCTAACTCACAGATTGCGCGTTCCGATCTTCCAACGCATTTCTACGATACGCGGCGGGCGCGGCGCGCTGACGCAGTGCTCGGGTAGAAGATACCGGACCCGAAGAATTCGGCTCAGGGGCTTACTAGGCAAATCATCTGGGCTCTGTACGAAGAAACGGTGCGGTTCCAAAGATTCGAAAGGGTTGCTCTGAACTACCTTCTTTTCTGGAACTCGCTGTGCTTGTGGTATCCTAGATTGCTTGATGACTGCTAACGAGTCAGGAATTATAGACTCTTCCTCTTCACTCTCCGTTGATTCTTCTTCAGCAGAGTCCTAAAGTTCAACTTCTCCATTTTGGTATTCAGCTATTGTCAACTATTTTTTGCTCTCACCTCACCCTCGACACATCTCTTCTTTCTCGACTTCTTATCCTTATCCTTACCCTTTTCCTTATCCTTTTCCTTATTCTTATCCTTATCTTTATCCTTATCCTTAGCTTTATCTTTGTCTTTCTCTTTCTCTTTCTCTTTCTTCTTGTTCTTGTCCTTTTTTACTATGCTCTTGAGGTTTTTCTTCTTAGTCTTTTTTGAATTTTTCTTCTTGCTCTCATCTTTACCTTTTTTGTCCTTCTTCTTTGTCTGCAACATTCTGGTATCACACATCTGAACGTTCCCTGACATATTTTTCAAGCTGTTAGCCAGCATTTCAAAATGTATTGGAATTCAAATCAATCGTGTAGGTCAATATCCTGATAAGGAAGCCATTGTAAGCAGAGCTTTGTTGATATTCGTGAAAACTATTGTTTGAAGGGATCGGAGGTGGTGTAGTGGCAATTGGCGCACTATCACACGCACGGTCAGGAGTTCGGATCCTGGATCACTGCCCGCCTAAGCCAACCAAGCCTTCCATCCCTTTGGAGTCGGTGAATTGGTACCAGAGTTGTCTGGGAGGATAAAAGCACTGACTCGTACATCGGCTGGCCACCGCAAGTCATTGTATAGGCCACATACGCACTCACTACGCACTACGATCCTGAATGGAAGTGAGTGGGGGACGCAACCCTCAGCCGCATTGATTAACGCCAAAAACTTTTATTAACTTTTATTGTTTGAAGTAGATAAGAACTCGAACGTAGGTATCACTTGAGATCGGTTACTTCTTTACCCAAACACTAGGGTTTCGGACCTTTAAAGGAAAACTCTATCGGTTGTAGGCTTACAGCTTACCTTGTGTGGTCTACCTTAGTCAGTTAAGGCCACCTTTGAGGCACACAGTCCTGGGATTTGCTCTGATGCTAACACTGTTTGACTAAAGTAATTGATCAGGTCAACTACTAAATGAACTCGGCATTTTCACTAGTCATCATTGGTAACCAGTTCGTCTTCTTCAATAAATCTTCTCCGTTCGACTCCCCAATAATATCCGTACTGCTTGAAATAGTAACAATAGCCTGAACAGTTTGCCTGGCCTTGCAGCCAATAAATGCCATAAATGGCCGTGGTATGACCGATTCCTGTGATTGTTGGAGTAAAAGAGCATCGGTGAAACGTGAGCGTATCAGTAATAATTCTAGCATCTCCTGATCTCGCAGAGATGGGTTCGTCATGTTACACATTGCTTTGTTGTTTCACTCAATCTTTGTAGGCTCAGAGCTTAGTATGCAATTAGCTCTGCCTTACAATTGAGCATCATCTCGGAAATTAACGGGCAGTTAGAACGTTGTTGTGTCTTTCGCAGCGTCAGTCGTTCTCCCCCACCGGAATGTGCCACCCTGCAGTTCTCTCAGTATCGCTGTATTACACGTTTACACGACTTTAAAATCCATCTTGTCTATGGTTCATGCTGTATAAGCGCTATCACTAGCATAGAATGACCTACTTTTCAGTTTCTTCCTGACTGTAACTACCTCTATTTGCGGTGGGTTGTCCTATCTACACTATTGTCATAATCACAGCGACGGGCTGACAAAGACACTCAGGCAGGCCGACAGACAGACATCCTGAGTGTCGACGGATTCAGATGGAATACTTTCGTTGGCATTGCACTGAAGGGTGGCTAGGCAATGATGAGGATACTCATATAATGGTATTGATAATCCTCGACTTCCTGCCTTAATATGGCACTATGGCTTGTGAATCGAAAGCACTCTTACGTTTTTCCTTTCCATTGTGATCATAAATGAACGTTAGACAGTCTTGTCGTCACTGTTCTCACGGAGGCCGTGTCTAACAGCAGAGTCCCTGCACTTTGAGGGAACAGCTCTTATCAGCAAAGTGNTACAGCTTCCCGAACGGCAGTGATAATAGTTGATATTTCGTCGTACTAATAGTTATCGTTATGCATGGTCACGGATGACGGGTGCTCGTCAGGTGAGAATCATAAATGGGTGAAAATGGAGTTGGAGAGTGGTTGTTCTGTTTCATTCCAAGGACTTTGAAGGGACTGCCCTGAAATGTGGTCTGAGTGAGATATTGAGATTCGAGAGGAAGTTTGCCTCACTCTCAATTCAGAGATTAGTAGTACATAGCTTAGGAGGCCAAAGCAGGTACAGACGGCTCTCCGAACGGCAGTGATAATAGCTGATATTTCGCTGTGATAACAGCTATCGTTATGCATGATCACGGATGGTGGGTGGTCGGGTGAGAATCATAAATGGGTGGTAATGGAGTTGGAGAGTGGTTGTTCTGTTTCACACCAAGGATTCATGAAGGACCTGCTCTGGAATGTGGTTTGAGGAGATATTGGGTTTCGAGAGGAAGTTTACCTCACTTTCAATTCAGAGAGGAGTAGTAGAACAGGAGGCCAAAGCTGTCGACTTGGTAGTAATAACAACCAGCATACAAGCTGGGTTCTTTGAGAAGCTGATGGAATTCGCCGCAATCGCATCAACTGACGGTCTCTATCCTCAGACAACGCTTCCCTTCAACCAGTGCCGTAGAAGAAACTAAAAGTTTCCAGAAGTCTTTGATATGCCCTAGGTATGTGCGAAGCCATTAAATTGGATATGGCCCCTGAAAACTTCGGTAGTTTGTCATTGAATTGATCAAAAGACCTTGAAAGATCTTTGATTGATTGTCATTGTCACGTTAAGAAGACTCCCGTAATGTTCATTACCAACTATGTGACGTTCTATTGAAGCTGATCTCTAGTAGACGGATGCTCACCGGTGTGCCTGCTGGTTGTGATTTAAAATAGTTCATGTGAGATACTTTCGAGTAGGTTAGAAACAAAATGAGACTTACTCCTTCTCTGTTTTGTGAATCACATGAGTTATCAGTCATTATCATCTGTTATCATTCATTATTATCCGTATCATTATCACTTTTATATAGTTAGCTGGGTGCAGTAGTTGATACAGGAACGAAAATTTAGTCCGGCACTCGGCTCTTACAGTAATCCGGCACGTGTTAACACGCAAATTTTTACCCGTCACATATACAACGCGTCGAAAAGGGGCTTTGGGCAAGTACACGGGGGTGGGTGATGGGGTAAGCCAGGGGGTTACTGTAAGAGTCGAGTGCCGGACTGGATTTTCGTATTAGTGTAGTTGATGAGTTATTCGATGTGTGCATGTGTATGTGATTGTATGCTTGTGCATGTGTTATGCATGTAGACGGCTGGTGCGTGTATGTGTGTGGTGGGTGCAGTGTGTGTCACCGGGAACTGGATGATAAAGTCTTTGACGTTAATCGGTTTAATGCGCCTCTGCACCAACCTCAATTCAGAACCCTAGTGACGTTTCGGAAGCGTATGTGGCCTGCATGTCTGGGAGGATAAGAGCACTGACTTGTACATTTGCTGGCTTTTAAGGTGGGCGAGGTGGTATGGTGGCCAGCCGATGTACAAGTCAGTGTTCTTATCCTCTCAAACGAGCCTGGTACCAATCAACCGACACCGGAAGACTTGATTGGCCTGAGCGAGTGTTGATGCGGAAACCGATCTCCGGGCCATATGCGTGTGTAATAGTGCTCCACTTGCCACCACACCACCTCGCCCCATTAAAAGTCATGGTAGATAAAGGTGATGAGATAGGAACTTCGATGTGAAATGGCAGAAAGTGATTACAACTAAGGCCATGGCCTGACTTTCTCCCAGTGCATCACGTCGCTTACATGCGGTCTTTGAAATAACCATGCGGCAGCTTCGTCTAGACTTTTCCAGCAAATTTAGATGATTACTCACCTTTACTACGTCTACTTTACGCTAACTCACACATTACAGTACGTANCATTAAAAGTCATGGTAGATAAAGGTGATGAGATAGGAACTTCGATGTGAAATGGCAGAAAGTGATTACAACTAAGGTCATGGCCTGACTTTCTCCCAGTGCATCACGTCGCATACATGCGGTCATTGAAATAACCATGCGGCAGCTTTTTCTAGACTTTTCCAGCAAACTTAGATGATTACTCACCTTTACTACGTCTACTTTACGCTAACTCACACATTACAGTACGTATAAATATTTTATCCTCTATGGTACTGATAAATTAAGATTATAAAATTCATCCTCAGCAGAACAGTTGGCATTCGCCCGGAGTACGTGGATGGGGATGGTTCCACTCATGCTGGAATCAGCAGAAATTGCCATTTCATCAAGTGAAGGTTACAGTAGTACAATCACTTACCAAGCAGTAACCATACGGGAAAGAGTGGCATTTTCCGTCCTTCCTCTCCCACCGATAAACAAACTGAGACGGTTTGCCACTTTTACAGAAAAATCTGTAGGTGGTCCGTGAGCACAAAACTCCTGGAACGGAAAGCTGTTCAGATATACCTTTGAAAATCAGAACATGGAAGGTAGTAGATTGCAAGAGCGCTTATTAGAAGGTGCATGCATGAAAATACATACGTAGGGTTCCTCGAAGATTAGTTAGCACAAAAAAATGATTGAAATTAGGGTAAAAGTGTCAACTTTATAGAAATTTCGAGAGAGTCCCACTCATGACCCCCAGCAGCTGTGGTTTCGCCTGATTAACAACATAAACTCCCACCAAACAGGAGCCAATTAGCTCCAAACAAACCTAAAAGTCCTACTGAAAAAAACATTATTTCATCTCCGCTCTGTAATTATCCTAATAACTCCTGAATTGAGATATCTTTCTTAAAGCTTAAGTTTAGGCCGTCAGCATGCGAATTTTTACACAGAGCATAATCAAAGACTGTACAAGGCACGATCAATTCTTCGTAAGAAAAAGATAAATATAATAATAAACATACTCTTGTTCTTCTCCTCACCGCCTTTGTCAGCACCCTTAGCGGACTCTGACCCTTTCTGCACAGACTCCTCAATCTCCGCCTTAACAACCTCTGTTACAGTAGGTTTCTCAAGTTTCTTTTCTTCTTCGTTTTCTTCTGCTTCAGTCGCTACCGCATTCAGTACTTTAGTCTCCGTTCCTTGGTTTTGACTTGCGTTAGCCGAAAACCCGTGGTCCTGGGCCTCACCAGGTTCTACTTTCTCAGTGCTCGACATGTTGCTTAAGACTGACCCATCATCAGTCGTTGGAAATATTTCAGGTTCAGCGACCATTGCCGACCCTTCATGCAAATCCATATCTTCAAGACCTTGTTCAGCTATCGTTTCATTCAAAACCTTGTCGTGTTCGGATATTGGCAGTCCTGCCCGAAGCTGTTCCTCCAGATCAGAATCCACAGGAGCACTTCTCTCTGCTGCAATAGAGGGTGTTCCATCAGATTCCGCATTTAGTTCCTGAGCCTCTGACTGCGTCTGCACATCAGTTCCTGTTTTCTCGTTTTTGCCAGAAAATCCTTTCGAGACTTCAGTCAGAGCTTCTGAAATACAAAAAACAAAAACGTGGAAAAGTACTGAAGCACTGCTCTACCCAACATAACTGCTCATTAGCCTCTGCAATGAGGTTCGAAAGGACCTTGAAGATAGAAGCTTGGGTCGAAAATGGAAGTGAGGGTGGTGAGAGGTAGGTACACCACGATCTAAGCTAGAGGAACCCATCGGAAAGCAGTACGACATAGATCCCTCTTCGCATTCGGAGGAGAATGCGAGAAATCTAAGAGAACTGGGTCTGTGCAAGCTTTCTCGTGCTCATAGACAAAAATTCTGATGACGCAACCTATTTCCCTGTTGAATGTTTCAACGAAGAGACGTTTATAGAGTGGAGCAGCATATGGAGGATAGTGAACCCTTTACACTTGCTACTATTTGGTGTTTCAGAAAGTTCTGTCGTTTTTCAACGCTCAACTTTCAATGCACATATCTCGGCTCAAACAAAACTTTATCAATCGGAATAAAACCCAGTATTTTATACACACTTTTGCCAACGAGTAACAAGCTTGCCTATCCCGGTTGCGTAAAACTCTGGAGATCTAGAAGCGATAAATTCGAGGAAGGTCGATTTGTCATCATGTCGATTGTTCAAGCGTTTCTCTCGGAGGAAGTTGTCAAGATGTTTAAAAAAGTGGTAGTCGGTTGGAATGAGGTCAGTTGGGTACGGTGGGTGTGGCAGAGTATCATAGCCAGTCTCGTTCAATTTTTTCGGGTGGTCTGTGTGACATGGGAGCACGCGCTGTCGTGGAGAAGGATCGGCTCCTTCCTGTTCACCAATCCAGGGCTCGTGAGCTGCAGCTTCTGGTGCATTTCGTCGATATCCTGGCAGTATCTTTCAGCTATGATAGTTTCGCCCGGATCCAAAAAGCCATGATGAATTAAACCAGCCGTTGACCACCATCACCGTCTTCGAGACTTTCGTCGCCGATACGGAATTCCTCGAACCATCAGTAGCAGTACGTACATTTGTTGCTCCAGAACCAAATGCTATGTTGATATCTCCAGCCGTGTGCGCTGCATTCCTGCCTACTTTAAACTGGAAAAGGAATATGGTGCGAACTTGTCGTTTGTCCATGTTTTTTCCAAGCTTTTGCAAAAGCTAGGAAGTCACTATGAGGCGAAGCCGGTGCAAGAAATGCAAGAGCAAGAAATGCGCTTTCAAATGGTATACAATATAACAGTAGAGCCACGGAAAATAACCCAGGAAAGAGTGTCTATAAGTAGACCATCCAAAACGACATAACTTTCTGAAATACCTAATAATTCACGAAAGTGTCACACCAACTTCCCTCTTTCTCAGCCACTATCTGTTTTGGCGGATGTTTCCTATGACGTCATCCCATCTTTTACTCTACTGACTGCGCTCATCAACTGAGTCGATTACTCTAATGTGTGGGGTTACGCATGCCAACAAAATCCTTGATATGTGCACAATATGTACAATAGCCCTGGTACTAGGGCTACGGTATTCTGTAATAGAATATTCCCGTAAGACTATTCAAAATGCCTGCTACCACTAACAGAGCATGTTGGCCGGATTGGCACGAGACTAGGTCTATGTATTTCATGCTTAGTNCTGCTGATTGCTCTGAATGACTTGCTTCATCCGTAGCGGCTGAATCATCTGAGTTGCTTGGGACAGTCGCCCGAACATCAAGCGTCACCGAGGCAGGAGATGTTTCATCGNGCAAAGCAGAGAGAGCATGCACAGAAGATTGAATTCAGCGAAACGACACTCAATTGTCAATGCAATCAGTAACCGACAAGTATCCAAGTGCCCCTTCGAGAACGACTTGGTGTGAGATGTGAACCTTGGCCGGTGGTTGAGCTTTCCCATCTGGTCAGGTTGATCTTCATGTTAGGAGTAAGGGAAGGAAGATGGAACAGAGACAAGTGGCACGGATACTATTCTCACGGCGCTACAATCCGAAGTCATTTCCAGCTAAGGTAATGGAGCCTTCATTTTACAGGTTGGGTGATAAGTATCAGATGTCTCTGGAAGAATTCTCATACCCATCGAAATGCTCTTACAAATCATCGTATAGGCTGAATACGCATTTGAAAATCTCTAAGAGTATAGAAAGACTTCACTCCATGCCCTATGAATCGAAGCGTAAACAAAACACCTATCCAAGTCTCACTCTTTGCGCTACCCTTTCGACTTTTCAGGCATTTTCGTTCACAATCTGCTTTGGTTCGAATTGTCAATGACTCCGCAGCACGATCTCCTGCAAATGTTCTGAATTATGTCGATTTTTCTTCAGCAAAAATTGTAAAGCGAGTAAAACCTGGGCAGAATTTCCATGAATAGTACTCGCATTTTCCCTTTTCACTGAGATACCAACGAATTGTCGGTTGGGCATCCACCGAGTCCGTAAGGCAGCGAGATCTAAACGTGCTAGGGATGAAATAGGAAGAGCGGTACTGCTCGGAATACGGAACTCACGGTTGCTTTTTGCATGAATACGTCGTCCTTTCGTTGATGAATGCCAAGGTGTCATTTCTTATTTCTTTTCCAATTTTTGATATTATATGGACCTTAGACGAATGTTCGGGACCATCAATGGTCCTGTTAGATTCCTCATGAACAGTTTCGACTGTGGTGTTGTCCTGTGGCAATAGATCTTTCGTGCCTGCCCCAGTAAGCGCAATAGGACCATCCTGGCTTTTCGTTGCGGCTGCTTTTCTTTCTGTATCATGGTCGACCTTACTGAGATCTGATGACCTCTGTTTCCCACTTCGTGGTTCAATTTGCGGATCTGGGCCATGCAAATCTGGTTCCTCTACTAAGGTATCATCATCAACTTTCCCTGAAGAGACGACGATAGAAACCTCCACAGGAACAGCTGAACCTTCCAAAGCATCCACATCACTCGTGTCGCCAACTGTAGCCGAACCATTTTGCATTTCACCGTCGCCCGGAACATCCAACGGCAAAAGTGTGGGAGTTGTCCGTTCTTCGATAGGGCCATCTTTTTCTTTTGTCGAAATCATGCTTCCTTGTTCTTGAGTCACTGCTGATTGCTCTGAATGACTTGCTTCATCCGTAGCGACTGAATCAACTGAGTCGCTTGAGACAGTCGCCTGAACATCAAGCGTCACCGAGGCAGGAGATGTTTCATCGAAGACCTCATCGTTCTCAGACACAGTTACCGTAATGTTTCCGCATGGAATATCATCTTCTTCGAGAGATGATAAGCTGTCCGATTCGGACGAACGGCAAGGGCGTTTTTCTCTTGAAGTAGATGGAGCAGTGAGCTCAGTCGAGTCTTTTTGATCCCATTTTGGATCAGTATGTTTCCGATTGTCGTTTCCGTATATTAGACGGAGTTCGGTTCGATTTGGACAACAGATGCCCGTTGGTGGAGTGAGTAAGGTATCCTAAAAAGAAAAAAAAAACATTCATGAAAGGTTTCGTGAATATAGTGTGCCATAACTGGTAACGGCAGAATGCACGGTCAGGGGCTGCCGCCTTATCTAGAGCCCCTAGCTTTGGTCCAACGCATGCTGCACTACTATACAGAACAGTAGTGAGGAGGATTCTAAAAACAACGAGCACGATCTTGCCTTTCTTCAAGAGACATCCAAAACAGAGACATCCAAAACATGATGATAAAAGAGCAGTATTAGGGTGTAGTCAGAGCCAGTGCTTGACTATGCTCCGGGCGCCCACATTCACTAGAGTCGGAACGAAACCTGGGAGCTCTGCAGTTCAGTGGTTCACATTGCCAATACAGGATTGCACTTGAGACGGTATCCTACCTTACCTCCCCTTAGACCCTGAACTAGCTACAGTGACTCACTGAGAGGTTATTTTTGTCTCCGAATTTTCATGACAGACGTTTGATCGTAGTACTTGCTTTATGAATTCAAGGAGCCGCTAGAAAGAATCAGCAGAAAACTTATTAAGCGAAGACTTACCTGCATTTCGCAGACGAACCCTTTTGGGCATCCCTTCGAACATGGAAACGCTTCATTAGCTTCTATTAAAGGCACACTTCCATCGGTGCACAGCAGAGACGAAACGCTGACAGTTACCAAACCTAAAATTAACAATCATTCAGAAGGATCCAAGATTGAAAGTGGTGAGTTTATTTGACGAAAAAGAGTCCAACCTCTTTGCTTTCAATATTTTGTGTAAAAAACTGGCTACAGTATGATACTGCGACAGAAAATAAAAAGTGAAAGCGACGGAATGATTGATGTGGAATGATTATAATGGAGGGAGTCCCTTTAATAATGCTCACTTTCATGGAAATTTTTGTATATTTTCTAGCATTTTGTTACAATTAAGTAAAATTGTGCTCAATATCAATCAATAGACTTAACTTTTGATGCCAATTTATATCTAGCTCATAGATTGCAAGACTTATCAATGTCCTGTGGCTCAATTTCAAGGGAAAAGTAATAATCATAATTATAAGGTGATATTTTACCTGATGTGAAATAATGTAAATACTAATGAGTAATAATTGTACTAAAGTACAGAAATAGATGAACAAACGTAAATTATTCTTGTACTTATTACTTACCAAGAATGGATAGGACGGCAACCGATAAGGGATGTAGCATGGTAAAGCTTCAATTGTCCGTGGCGGCTATATCT